ACAAGATTTTTCTATAAGGAGAGATAATTCAAACACCAGGCAAAATAGAGTTATGGTTCTTTGACACTGCACTCCCCCTCAATGCCCTCTACCACTATATGAAGTTTCAACAAATTATCTCCAAGGGTTTTCAAGTTATGCTCCGGACAAGACAACAGACGGACGGACGGACGTACGTACGGACGGACGGACAGACGGACGGGCGGACAGACGGACAAGGCACCGACTATATGCTCCCCCGAAATTTTTCGGGGAGCATAATAAAAATGTTTTTTGCATTATATCGATGTATGACATTCAAAATTCAAGTCACTCTTGTACTTCCATTTTCCCAAAATATTGTTTTAATAGAGGCTTTGGGTTTTTTCCCCAAACGACACGGGGTCATTAAATAGATAATTTTTTAAAAATTATGCAAAATTTTTTTTTACTTTGGGGATCTAAATTTTGAAATAAACCGCCAAAACAAGTTTGGTTTGCTAAAATTTCCCCTTTTTAAAATTTTTAAATTTCATGCTTTTAATCCCTTTTTCGGGTCAACAATTTTTGATTTGAAAAAGATGGGGTTGGGCTTTTTAAGGTCAAAACAAGAAAAAATTTAAAATTTCTTTGGCTAAAAGGGTTTAAGTCAAAATTGTAAAATTTTTCATAAATTTGTACATAAATTTGAAAATTCTTTGTTTAGTTTAGGGAAAATTTAGGGCGAAAAAATGCTGCTTTTTAAAAATGGATCCCCATAAAATCATCATCATCTTTTTTCTTCTTCTTCCAAAATTTTCCGGGTATAAATTCTTCATCAATAAAAATTCATCATGTCAGGTTATTATTTGATTTTCCTTTTCAACCACTTCATTTCATATTGTACGAGATGTAAACTTTACTATAAATATGACAATGTTTCCAAATGTATACAATATAATCTGAGAGCTTAGGTTTCTTGCTATGCAGGTAATATGCAAGTACAGTTTTCATAGATAGATTTAGGGCATGATAACAACAACAAAAGAAGGTTAAATTATTAAATGCCATATAATTAAGTCAGTCGTTATGTCCATCTGTAGTATGCCTGCCTAGCTCAATGAGAGAGCATTAGATAAGAAATCAAGGAGTCACTTGCTTCATCCTCCGACAAAGTAAATTTCTCTTTGAAAATAAATCTCTCATCGCTTATTCAAATATCATGTGAGGTAAACAGGGGTCACTTGCTCAGATATTTCTACATAATTATCCAGGAAATCCGGTAAGTTGGATCGAAAGCCGAGATAAGACCAAAACATTTGTTATAGAACACCAAATTTATGTTTCGCCCATCGTTTTCTCATTAACACATCCTGATAATTGTGAGATCATACGCCACTTTTGATGTACTGGCTGAAAAAAGTCAAATTGAGCTTTCCATGATGACCTCCGTATTAACACATCTGCAAATGTTTCAAAATTCAAATTTTACTATTTCATGCTAAAGGTTGAATTATCCTTGAGGAGGTGCTTGGGGTTGTGGACGGTAGTTTGCACTATCCAGTACCATCCATGAACAGGCTCAATAAACCAATTTTGCAACATTTTCAATTTTACTGTTTATTGGAAGTTCTTTAGGAATTGTATTTTTTCCCTATTCACACCTGTAACTTATGCCAGACTAGCATTGTTTAGAATAAATATGCTCAAAATCGTTCAAGCAAATAGAATGAAAAACGGAAAACTTTAAGAATACATAATATGGCACAATTACGCTCGGTTCTATTATGCTTTATTTTTTGAACAGCAGTGATATATGCAAGCTTCTAACAACGTCCTCCAAGCAAAATTCAGTATTTAAACATAAATGTAGTAAAATTATTAAAGTGAAACTTAAAATTTTAAACATCCGTAGACAAGTTCATAAGACGGTAATCAAGGGATCTTCAATGTAACAATTGCGCCACTCCATCAAAAACAGTATATATCGACCCAAGTAAACATATTGCCTTTAGCCTAAATATGAAAATTATGTTGAACTTAATAATTGAAATTTTTAAATTAAGGTTATGAAGTCTTAATATCAGATAAAAGCCACCAAAGGAGAAATCTTAAGTCAGGCAACACATCCTTAAGGGTGATATTCAGTATTCACGAAGGAATACTAGAAAAAAAAGTCAAAAAGAAGAAACTAAAACTATGCAACACAGCAATGTTATTGTGCTGAACGATTTTCAAGGATCATTAATATAACATCCCAGATTGATCAAACTGCCAGGAGCTGATGCATCATTTTTGCCATCTACAGTCAGTGCTCAGTGTGATTTTCAAGCACTCCCATTAAGTACTGACATTTAAAATCTTATTTCTGCTGAATAGTGAGACAACACATAACATAGCTAGTTGATCTGAAGAAAACAGCGACTATCTACTTAGAAATGTAAATTACAACTACATGTAAATGCTGGTCGGTTGCTTTGTGTGAAAATTGTTGCTTTTAAATCGACTTTTGTACAGAATGTATTAGTGCATAGTTTCAAGATGTATGTATTTCTGTGACAAGTATTGATAGCTTAAACATGTTTTAACTATTTTGATGTTTTGTGTGCAGTAACATTCACAATTTTTGCTTAACTTATTCATATATATGATTGCTAATTTTATAAAAGACAATTCTTCTTACCTTTGTCAAATTAAAAAATGATTATGTGTTTATATCATATTTCACAACTACACTCTCACAAAATGCATTTCACAGACATCATGGTTCTTGATTAATATATAGGTGTGCCTTTTGATGTTTTTAATGCACTCTTTCTTAATTGTAATTATGATGCAAAATTTCTTACCTTTATCAAAGGCAAATTATGCCTCAGAAAACAAATAAATTAAATCATGGTTTAAGAGAATGTAATATGCTTGTAACCTGAATAAAATAGCAATAAATCTAAAATACTTTGTAGTAAATGTAGCAAAATGTAAGCAAAGTAGTACTTTAACTTCCTTCCATACAAACTACTAATTCACAACATCTATACGTATTGCCAAAATGTAACAGATAAAATAGTTTAAGTGATTAGCCAGTAAGTAACGATATGCCGATAACATAAAACTATACCAGAATTAAAAAAAAAGCTTTAGAGGAAGAAAGATAAAAGCTTTTCTGAGGCATAATGGGCCTTTAAGAAAAACATTATCAATTACAGGTGTTATAAACATGTATCAAAATTAATAAAATTACATTTTTTTTTGTAGAAAGAACGTAATAAAAACTGTTTCTGCCCGTAAGAGTATGTTGTATAAGCATCGTGATGTCTTCGGGTCTAAGTTCAATTTTATCCCACACACTTTTTAGTGCTTCTCTTTTGAGACACATGCCTCGTGGCAATTTCAATTAAAACACACTTACATCTATTTTATGTTACAAAGATGAATCAAAAGTTACCAAAATACTAGTATGTTGTTTTTATACATTTTTGTGTGAATTAATTATGATAAATAAAACATTTAAATGATGGTTTTTTCTTACTGAAATTTGAAAAATAATTGTATTTGCTATACAGCCTCTTTTTTACCATAAAAAAACATATTTTTGAGTACACATATACAAGATTTGATAAGTTTTTACTCCATACACTATAGATAAACACAGTATAAATACATAACGTCATAATAACTGGCGTTTTTTAGTAAGGATCATATTAACTTGACCAACAATAGGGAGTGCAGCTTTCAAAACTTTTTTATTCAAAAATATTCAGTAAGAATTTCGTAGATTTCACAAAAATATCTGCAATAAAAGTGTTCTACCAAGATATTACTGTGCTAGGAACATCGTTAACATAATTTATTGATAATAATTGTCAGAAAATCGCAAAACATGACTATTAAACATTAAAAAGTAAAAGCATGTTCTGTTAGCACTTTAATTTTTAAAGTGTTATGTCGGACTCATTTTTTTAACTCTATCCCTCTGTGATACATTCTCTTGTAATGATTTTTATGCCAAACTATTACAGCTATAATCAGCTAAAACAACTGCAGCACAATTCTTCTACTTTGTGTCAAAAAGATATCCTAAAAGGCAACAAAATGCAAAAACTGTGTTTTTACCTATTAAATTTTTGGTTAATTGTGATAATCTTAAAGGTTACTATGACATGATGTTTCTTTTCTTCTTAAATGTAATACATATTTATATATCTTACCACAAAATTCAATTAATATATGATTATTGCACTTAAACTGTAAAACAAGGGCAAGTTTAAGGAGCTTATTAATTTTTAACGCGCTTTCTTGGGGGTTATTTTACCCCACCTTCTTTTGAAGCTGTACTCTTCTGTTACAAATGCGTCAGGTAATGAGTTTTTATGCTTAACTTACCAAAACATGTTCAAATAATAAAGACCATACAATAAAAACACAATTTCATATACATTAAACAGAAATTATAAAGTAAAGGCAAGTTATGGGAACATTGTAATTTAATTTTTTTTCGGTAATATTACCCCACCCACTTTTAAAAATCTACTCTTACGGCATAAATGCCCAGAAAATGATTTTTTTATGCTTAACTTATATATCTATGTTTAAGTTATAAAGTACACACACTTTAAATGCATTTTCGTTTATATTGTGTAAATACGGAAAAACGAAAGTCATCATATTGTCAAAAAATGCATTTTTTTTTACAACTTTTTTCGTAAATTGATAGTGATAATTTTAATGTTTGCCATATAATTGTCATTTTTACTTGATTACATCATAAAGTAGCCATATTTTACCTGATATTGTGCAATTAAAACTACTTTGTACAAAATCCGTATGTAAAAAATCAAGAAACAAACATTATATGGTATTTTGTAATTTATGGCGGCCATATTGGCGGCCATCTTGAATTTTTGTACTTTTGCCCGGGCTGCGTAACTTAAGAAATGGGTTTTTAGAAACTACAAACAATATGCTTTATAATGACAATGTTTCTTTTGGTGATACGGTAAATTGCAATAAAACCCCGCCATCTCTTGGACTATAATCTTTTAAAACAACAAATATAGTCTGACTATGAAGCGTCATGCAAGTGAATGAATTGGACAGTTCACTCATATTGCACTTTTTATTTGTTCATTTATGTTGCCATGGTGATCAACTATTTTTCTTTCTTCCCAACAAAACTTTCTCTATTCCCATCATTGGAGATTCAAACGCCAGAGAAATGACAAACGCTGCAGCATACGTTACACATAAATGGCCCAGGAAAATGTATATCTAAAATAAGAAAAGAAATCTTGGTGCCACATTAACGTCAAACATATTTCTGTTTTACAAAGGTTTCATTATGTACATAGAGTATATTGAATGAGTGGAGATTAAGTATTTTATTCAATGAACAAATTGAATTAAAATTGTTTTTTTCAAATTTAAAATTTAATAAAATTTAATATTGGGAAAATACACGAAAAGTAAAAAATCCATTCCAAACACATATCTGAAAAGAAAAGTTTTTCATTTTTGTTTTAAAGCGCCACAGCTTTTTTTTGAACAAAAACGTAAATGACGGTTTTTAATTTTTCAAAAAGTTTTAAAACAAATTTTAGTTTTGTCCTACCAAATTTTTTATATTTTTATTTTTATTAAACAAATTTGTTAAAAATCATTTAAAATTAAAAGTTTATGGGTAACCCCGTTTGTCTTTAATTTTAAGGCCCTGGTTTTTATTTTTTTTTATAAAAGGGGCAGGAATAAAGGGTCAAAAAAATTAAAAATTTTTATTTTTTTTCCCCAAAGGAAATTACGTTCTAACCTGACCCTGACGTTCAATTTAAAATGGGGCGCCCATACAGACGTCATTTAGGGTTCGTCTCACAATTAGCCTGAAATGTACTCGGTAGTTATAAAAAATATATTATTCTTATTTAATAACTGATCACTAGCTAAATGTTATCATTAAAATGAAAAGTAAGAACAAAGTTTGTGTTAAAAATGCAATTTTACTAGCAAACCGTTATTTAAAATAGTCAAAATCATTGTAGTGAATAAAATCAGAATCCGCTCTATAAATTCTAACACACAAAGATTCATATAATTACCATGATATACTGTTGTATTTTATATATTATTTAAAGAGAAAAAGAGCAATGACGTGTTTTAATAAGATAGCTTTTCAATGAAGCGTGTATCTTTCAACGCGTCGTAGGGGAACGGGAACACTAGCTAGAAGACTAAAAAAGGGTTCTTCGCTAATGTTTTATTTACATTATTTCTGTAGTTTTCTAAATTCTGTCCATTAGTATGTATCGCGTCTATTTAAAAATAATAATATTGACCGGGTCAAAGTACTACATTATCATGCAAATCTGACAAGATATATATAGAAAGGGGAACTGATTCACTATATGTTCAGCATTGGTTTGCTTGTTACCACAGTGTCTACTTTAACTAGCTCCCTCGCTAATGAGAGAACACAGGAAAATTATAAATTATAAGAATTTAATATCATGCTTTCTAGTTTGAGTGACGTATACTAATTTTAGTCTTCCTAAAATTTGAAAATATTCAGTGAAAAACAATGGCTATATTTTTCGCGGGAGAAAATATACTGCATATTGTATATTTTGTAGCTAAAAGAGTAGGATTTACAGAAGTATTGAATAACGAGACAATATGTAGGGAAATCATTTTTGAGAAATATATAAAACATTTAAAAAACATAAAATCAAAACAAAGGTTATATGTGAATTAATGGAAAAAGCATTGTACTGTCATATATTCATGTCTATAAGTGTATTTAAATTTTTTTAAATGTTATCAAAAGACTTATTGTTAATATATGAATTGAAGGTGTAATTTTAACAATTACTGCAAAATCTGGGTAACAAAAAATTATTTTAAATGCCATCAAGACAAATTTATCTCATCTCAACGCTTAAAAATCTGTATGAGATTACATATGCCTAACCGCATTCTGTCAATGCCGCAACTGGAATCATCCATTAAAAGCGCAAGACATTTTTGTTACGTCATATATTCCGTAAATTGTTGTTGACGTTACAATGTTGTTTTTTTTGTCAGGAATCCATTTTCAAGAGTTATAAACATTGTGATGTTGACAACTAAAATCGATGGGCATTTTTTGAATTTTGGATTTGGAACATACTGAATTATGATGTGTTTCATTGACATATTTCATTTGCTAACCCAGATAACTGCGCAAATGGAACAATGTTTTAATAATGAGACGGATCATTAACAGTTTTAAAAAATCTGGATCATCATAAGTGTAGGAGTCTTGCCATTCAGGAGTTTCAAAGTAAAAAATGGGATCTACGGAATTGGATAGAAACTGGCAATGAAGGAATCTTCAGAATGCGGAATATGTCGTGACGTTTACTGTATAAAGAACTACTTCGAAATTCATAGGGATTCTATTCAGCTTAAAAGTAGGTGCAATTTCTAGATCTACTCCATGTGACTATGTTCTTGTTGCTTATCTTTTCATTTTTTAAAGTTTTCCATCATACAATGCAACTAAACTGTTACATCTTGTAGATCCAGCTTTTTAAAATAATCATGAAACGATCCCGAGAACATCATGTATATTCGAACCCCATGATACCGGTGACTTCACGGTACCGGTATATTCACATATCTCGGGATATTATTGTCAACGCCACCTACCGAGTGTTTATATTGACATGCTGCCGCCCAGTAATATTGGCTATTTCAAAGTTTTTAAACATTTTCATGAGTTTATGAAGGAAATATTTCACTTATCCTACCTTATTTTTATTTAACTATCCTATTTCTCCATTGCATAAATTGGACTCTCTACAAAACACTTTTTTCCCAAAAAAAATGAAAAATGACAGGTGCTGACGTCATTCAACCTCCATTACATGTCACTTGACCTATTGACATCATTTTTGGCGGGAAAAAATTAATCTATGTAAAGCCATTAGTGCATATAAAATAGTTTGTGAAAATTAAAAAGTCAGTTTCATTCAGTCTTTTAAGGGAGCCTGTGTAAAGTGCCATATTGATTAATCATCATCATATAGAAATAAAATAGATTCAATGATATAAAAGGACCAGAAAATCACAACAACACTAAAATTAAGTGAAGGGAATTTTTGAATCTAGCCACATGGTATAATATACACCTGTAATTGGGTGGAAAAGGTTCTGAAACAGAGATCCCTTGGGAGTCATAAAAGATGAACAGTAAATTATTGAAACACACGTTTTTATGTTGTTTTAAAGTATTTTTTATAAGATATGAATACAAATATGCTAAAATGATATATTTGCTATAAAAACTGCAATGGCTTTCCATAATTATAAATAACATTTTTACCAGTGCACCGGTAGCATGAAGTCTGTTTAACTACGTCATACAAAATGGTCGACCATTGTTTACATTCGCAATGAGTGAGATCTTCATTATAACAGATCTCTGTAATGTAATTTTAAGAGGATTAAATGTTAATGAAGTTGTTTATTCCTTTTTTTTTTCAAGTCAGTAAAATTTTATATGAAAAACACCTTGTATGTAATATGTACACCGGTATCGGGGAGACCCGGGTTACATTTTAAAAACATGACGCGTGCTTTCTCGCGTTTATCTTCATATGAAGAGTACTTCGGCAATGGCTACGGAAAATACACAACAGAAACTTGCCGTAGAGAAATTAAACTTTGCTTTTACAACAAAAGTAGACACTTTAGAGAAAAATCCTGAAAAATTTTGAGGGTGACTTTCTTTTTAGTTTAGACAAAAGTTTTTTTTTATTTTTAGGTCGTTTTGTTAATTCATACATTGCAAAAGTTCATTTTCCATTTTTAATGGAACAGACTATAGTGTTATATCTTTAATATTAAATAGGTGTATTACACTTCTGCGCCATGGCTGATGTGATAAAATGTATTAAAAGTTCTACTTCAAAACTAATGGTAATCCCATCTTTAAAACAATCTTTAAGCTTGTTATATTTCTACAATAGTCAGTATCTTGAGGTTTGAACACAGAAGATGGCATATTTCAAGCAATTAATTGGTATACGATTTTTACGATGTTAAAGAATTTTTACTTTCTTCTTTAAACTTTAATTTTAACTTACTATTTCAAAATCGTACCATCTCATCAAAGTTCGTTTGCTAGAATAATATGCATACATCACGAGCGGATGTACAAGATATGCGCAATACGTCAAACGGCTCAGCGGAATAATTGCACGCCATGACAATAACTTATTAACAGGGCCTGGAAATAGAAAAGATAGTCTTCCGATAGATAATATACCAAATTTAGTTATAGTAGGGCTGTATCAAAATATTTTTTTTTGCAGGTGTCATAATTTCTAAACTTGGAAATTAATCTATTACGAGACGTGATAAATTTGATATCTCGATATAGTCTCAATGTACTTGCATTTCAAGAGCATTGATTATTTCAAAATGAAGAAATTATCAAACTACTAACCGTGCTATACAGGCGAATAATATAAGTAGTGATAATGCAAAAAAAAAAGAAAAAAAAAACAATAAATAACAGAATATTTCAGTCTATTTATAGTAAATGTTGTTGGTTTGTTTGATTGATTTGGTTTTTCGTCAGACCGACACAGATGTTCTGGTGGAGGAAGACCTCATGTGCCCTTTCATGCATTATTTCAGGCACGAACGGGTATATACGTTCCGAAAGCCAAATTGATAGCATCCTCACATGAAAGAACCCCTGTCCCCATCGGTATTTAAGCCACAACCGTGAGGGGCAAGTGTATTGAAGTCAACGACATTACCTACTCGGCCACGAAAGGCCATGAATATTATAAACGCAAGTGTTTTGTGCTGCAATTTAATATAATTTAAATTCCATTAAATAGAGAAAATTGAAATTAAAAATTCCCTTAATTTATAAATATGTTTCTAACATAGAGATTCATCTTTTATACCTCCATATCCACTGGCACATGCGAAAATAACCCAAGCAACTCACAGTCCCCATGCAGTTCTTGATGTAGCATTATAGAATGGAATGCCGACGTATCATCGCTGAGAATTTTCTTACCATCTGGCGAGTACAAGCCGTATAAATCTAGCATAGCGATTACTGTAGCAACAATCCAGACGACAACATTTAATATATATATAACAATATGAGAAAATATATTAATAGTGACAATTATATCAAAGACCATTAATGTCGCAGAAACTGATTTTTCTGAAAAGGTTTTATTTTTGGTGTCCTGTAATAGTTTTTATAAAGTTACTCATTGGTCAATTATCTGAATCATCTTTTGCCGCTGTTGTCTGTTGAGTAAAGTTACAGTGAATTATTTTTTCGCTTGGAAATCAAACAACTACTTTGCCCTTTTCACGTTACATATTTTATTGTTGTAAATACAATGTTTGTCGTTTATTAAACATGATTTTGTTAAAATCCTGAGGCACAATGTGCTCGAAACATAAACAGTACATTGTACAATGTATGACCTTATTTTTAGATTTTTGTAGATTGGTCACGGACAGTGACAAAGATGACTTGATTCTATAATTCACAATCTTGTGACGTTTAAAATATTTACTCGTATAACAGTTGTTATTTCGTTTCATTCTTTCTCAAAGGAATGTATTTTGCAATATTATAATATTGTTATAAATACTGCTAACACTGACAAATTATATTGTCCTTTATGATAATGCTAGCGCTTCGGGTCAGAAAAAGGATAAAAAAGAAATCACAAACCTGTGGCATTTTGACTTTGCCCTTTGTAATATGTAGAAGATATCCAGTGAAGAATCCGACGACATATGGTCCTATACGGGTCCAAGGTTTGAAATATAAATCTTCCATCATTTCATTTCCACTTTTAAATACAAAATGCAATGACATGTAATTACTTTACGGGTGCAAGGTTTGAAATATAAACCTTCCATCATTTCATTTCCACTTTTAAATACAAAATGCAAGGACATGTAATTACTATACGGGTGCAAGGTTTGAAATATAAACCTTACATCATTTCATTTCCACTGTTAAATACAAAATGCAAGAACATGTGATTACTATACTGGTGCAAGGTTTGAAATATAAACCTTCCATCATTTCTTTTCCACTGTTTAAAACAAAATTACAAGAACATGTGATTACTAATATGTAAGAAAACCAAACAAATGAAATCCCAAGAAATTCAAGGCAAGTCAAAGGCAACTAACACATGATTTACAACAGGAAAGCTATTCATGTATCTATATATTCTATATGTTGATATGTTAGTATTTATATAATATTTACATGTAATTGCTTGTAGTGTACACATTTTTAATATGTCTATATAAAACAAACTAAAACCGGTTAAATGAAATTTATTACCATAATGTGTATCTTTTTGACCACCGTTTTGACATTGAAAATATACTACAATAAACTAAATCAATCATTGAATGATTCTTAACTATCAAATAAAACCGACAGTCATGAAAGTTGTCATAAAAAGTCCAATAATTTAAAATGCTGACATAAAGTATGTGATTATGAACGTAATATTTAAAAAAAATATTCAAAAATATTATATGAACGAAACTACAATGTTGTTTTGTTTTAAGTCAAGGCGACAATGTAAAGGAAACTTCCTAGATTTTAATGGTGGTGGAAGACTCCAATTGCCCCTCCGTGAGTTATTTCAGACACGTACGGGTACCTGGGTAGAGCTACCGACGTTCTTTAAGACAACTGAAAAAGCTTCCCCAATGTCTTTAAATAACGTATAGTACAAATTAATCATAAAATCATTAAACATAACTGAACAATTACAAAAACAAATCTAAAGTTTTGATTATTTGTCAGCTATACGTACTTTCCCTCCAGTAAATTTGCACTCAAATGGTTACGTTTAGAAATAACTCCAGCACTGATGAAGTTTACCAGGACCAAGCATAGACAAGAGACTGCGCCCCAGAGGGGTGAACTGAAAAAAAAAAAACACATACATATTACAGTTTAACTGCATGTTAATTTTCACAGGAGTCCAACAGATAGGTGCGTCTTGTGCATAACATTGTGCATAAAAATGTGACATAATAAAAGTTCGCATAAATTCAACAGGCTGCGCCTCTTTCGTTTTAAGGTTCCCAGTTAAATGGACATTTAAGCAGGGATAAAGAGCGTTTGAGCCTGATTAAGTAATAGAAAGAACATAGAAACACGAGGCTATCAGATTTGTACGAGGGGACGATTGTAAATCAGATTGCCTAGTGTTTTGATGTTCCTTCTCTTTTGTATCTTTAGTTAGTTAAAAATAAAATACGTTCCATTTTGTCACAATATGAAACTCCAGAAAACAGTAACCAATAAACGAGCATCTGAATATGATATTTCTATCGCTGTCCTTTTCTCTGTCGTCACAATAAGTAAACCCAAGAAAACTGAGATCATCAATTGACATGCTTTTGAATTTGGTTAACTATTACCTGCACTCCAGTTAAGTCACTGTGCATGTATATGTATATGGTTTAACTTTGACACAATTCAACAGAAAGGTGAACTATGATACAAGAAATAGGAAAAACATCGAATCACGAGGCTATCTGAGGGGGCGTTGCCCCCGAGTATAAGTCAGATTGCTGAATAGAGTGTTTTGATGTTCCTGTCCTTTTGTATCAGTAGCAAAAATATAAAAACACGTCCTCTGATGTCACAATATCAAATCCCAGTGCGGGTAACTAAAACATGCACTCCAGTCAATTGGTTGTGCATGTATATGTATACGATGTACTTCTGACCCATTTTCAACACAAAGGTCCCCCAACTATGATACAAACGGGAGTTTGAGTCTGATTTAATGAATGAGACTGGTCAAATGCACATTAGAGCCTGATCAAATGGAAGTGTGATCCTAGTTACTGAACGTCTTATCTCGGTTAACAGGGACTTTGAGTTTGGTTGAATGAACAATTGATTCTAGTTGAATGAGACTGGTAAGAGTCTGGTTAAATTGACGTTTGGGTGTTTGGGTTTGGTTAGATGGACATTTTGGTTCGGTTAAATGGAAGTTTGGGAGTTTCAACATGGTAAATTGTGCGTTTGAGTCTGGCTAAATGGGAATTTAAGTCTGGCTGAATGGACGATTGAGCTTAGTTAAAGTGACCTTTAAGCCTTGTTTAAAGGCCGTACAAGCCTTGTTTATTTGGCGTTTAGAAACGAACGGTAAGTAGAGTGGAATACTTACTAATACAAGGGAACCAGCATTAAAGGGCTCAGAACATAAAACTGCATATCATTAGCCAGGTACCAGCTCCATCCCATACACTGTCAAACAAAAATTTTGTAATGATGCAATTTCATATTGATAGATAACGGTTTACATTAGTTCGGTTATTATATGCAATTACTATACAATAAAATTCAAATTAAATTTTGTTTCCATTTATACGGCACAATACTTCATCATATCTCATTACAATTGATCGTTACTAAACGGTCACAGTCTTTCAATCGACTTTCCTGTAGACAAAATTTTTTACCGTTATCGGTAAAAAAATGCAGTATATACGGAATGTTTACCGTGAGCACAGGCGATGTTTTTGTAACATTATTAGTTTCGCTTAATTTTTCTTTTACTTATATAACTCATTACCTTTTCAACGTTTTTTTTTTCATCCTGTTGGCCCATTTTATTATCTTAATATTTCTAATTGAATTGTCAGATATAAATAAACGTTGTATACCATTTTATTAGATCAAACTAAGTTACTTAGAAATGCAAAAACAGATTATACTAAACAATTATCAGAAAAAATAAAAGGAGAAAATTTAAAAACAACAGATTACTGGAAAATTCTCAAACAATTCATTAAACCAACAGTAAATAGTAAAATTAAGATTTTGAATGATAATGGCACCATATTGACTTCTGACACTGAAAAAGCAAATTTACTTAACCCATTTTTCCAATCACAATCCTCACTTGATGATAAAAATAAGTCTTTACCAAACCTAAAATTAAGATTTTGAATGATAATGGCACCATATTGACTTCTGACACTGAAAAAGCAAATTTACTTAACCAATTTTTCCAATCACAATCCTCACTTGATGATAAAAATAAGTCTTTACCAAACTTTCATGTACATCAAAATATTAATAAACTTGACACAATAAATATAACTTATGATGAGGTACGTGATACTCTTCAAACACTCAATGTTGGTAAAGCATCAGGACCTGATAATATCAACAACAGGATACTAAAGGAATTGTCAGAAGAACTCTCTGTACCTCTCTGTCATCTTTTCAGAAAATCATTAACAGCTTGTAAAGTCCCTTCACAATGGAAGCTTGCCAATGTATGTGCAGTCTACAAGAAAGGTGACCCCTCAATTGTTTCTAATTACAGACCTATATCACTTCTTAGCACGATCAGCAAATCTTTAGAAAAAATTATACATAAGCATATATTCAATTTCTTTGTTGCTAATAACACAATAACTTCATTACAATCTGGGTTTGTTCCCAATGACTCAACAACAAATCAACTTGTTTCTATATATAATACATTTTGCAAAGCCCTTGATGATGGAAAAGAAGTGAGAGCTGTCTTTTGCGATATTTCAAAAGCCTTTGATCGTGTCTGGCATTAAGGTCTCATTTTCAAGCTTCAGTCTGCTGGAATAAATGGTGGGCTTTTAAACTGGTTTAGTGACTATCTCAGTGATAGAAAACAAAAGGTGGTTCTTCCAGGCGGTTCCTCTCAAACCGTTTTTATTTCAGCCGGAGTTCCTCAAGGGTCCATTCTAGGCCCTCTTCTCTTTTTAATCTATATAAATGACATTGTTCTTGACATTAACTCATATATCAGACTCTTTGCAGACGATACAAGTTTATATATCATTGTTGATAATCCACTTCATGCTGCGGTGACTCTTAATTCTGATCTGAAAAAAATTACAGAATGGGCAAATGGTTGGCTTGTAGACTTCAATCCAAGTAAAACGGAATCAGTAATTATCTCTCGTAAAGTAAACAAACCAATTCATCCCCCACTGACAATGAACGGAGTTCAAATAAATGAAGTGACCTTACAGAAACATCTATGAGTAACACTTTCTAATGATGGAAATTGGCATTCCCACATACAAAATATTACAAAAAAGCCTGGCAAATAATTTATATTATGAGATCTTTGAAATTCATTCTTGATCTTAAGTCATTTGAAACTATATTATCTCTCTTTCATTCGGCCCCTTCTGGAATACTCGGATGTTGTTTGGGACAACATAACTCAACAAGATGAATTTGAACTTGAAAAAATACAACTTGAAGCCTGCAGATATAATAACCGGTACAACAAAACTAGTTTCTATCTCTAATCTTTATGAAGATACTTGCATCCAACCCCTTAAAGTAAGACGCTACAAACACAAACAAATTCTTCTTTATAAAATGTTCAATAATCTTTCTCCTCATTACCTCTCTTCATTAGTTCCCGATACAGTAGGAGAATCTTCAGATTATAATTTACGAAATGCAGACAACACTAGAAATATATTTTGTCACACACAACTTTATTCTCATTCATTTTTGCCATCATCAATTAAAGACTGGAACAATCTTCCTGTTAATTACAGAAATTCACCATCCATTTCAATTTTCAAAAGAAAACTTAATGAAGATGTTCAAAGTGTGCCTTCTCATTATTATGTAGGTGAGAGAAAATACCAGATTATACACACAAAATAGATAAATACAGAATCCCTAAAGAAAGCCCAACACGGCAAAATTGAAAATGTTGCAGGCTCGGTTTGATTGAGCCTGTCCATATATACAAGACTTAGAACACATTGTAGTTCTCTCAAAGAACATTTGTTTTCAAAAAACATAATAGAAAGTCCCCTATGTGAATGTGGTCAGGCGCGTAGCTAGCCTATAAAGAATGTGGATTCAAAATAATCTAGGAGGGTCAGGGGGGCATGCCCCCCTGAAAATTTTGAAATAAATGGTGCAATTTGGTGCGTTTTGGGGCCTCCGGAGAGCTTTCTTGACCAACGAAAATCCATTTATTTTAGCATAAAAATAGAGATGAATAGCTTTACTTTTGTTTATTTCAACTAGTCTACATTTCACAGCAAGTCTAACTTGCGGCCTTTGCTGGCCTGCTGATGACTTCTTTAAGAACTCGATGTAAACATTTGTTTACATTTCGAAAATACGGCGCGTGCAAACTTCCGACTTTGAAGAGCTGCAAAGGCCGACAACTTTTCAAAAAAAATACTACGGTATGGTGTACGATTTAGGCTATACGATTTAGGCTATATGATTTATAAAGTATTCAGTGTGGTAATTATCAGATCTGGCGAACGCGGCTGAATTTCAAACCACATTTTTTTTACTAAAAAAATTTTTTTTTGTCAAAATAATGTGGATTCAGCTGCGTACTCGCGTATAGGCAGCTACGCGCCTGGTGGTGACATAGAAAACACATCTCATTATTTCTTCTCGTGTCCAAGGTACCAAGATGAACGAAATACCCTCCTTAATAATTTAAGTGAAATAACAACTGTCACACTTAACGTTTTACTCTATGGTGATAATTCAATTGCTGACGATTTAAATGAAGCAATAGTCCTTCATATACACTCATATTTACACAGAACAAAACGTTTTGAAATGTAATAGAAAGTTATTATTTCGACTAATATGAAATAGAGATTTAGATGCATAATATCTTCTCAAAAGTATATTGTAAACTCGTTCCATCAACTCCATAGTATTTTAGTGACCATTCCTGTTGTCTTTCTTTTTCTTTCTCTCAAATCTGTCTCTTATTTCGTACCATCTATTACCCAACAATTTCAACAATTAACTAACGTTTCCATTTCTTTATTTTTCTTTAAATTTTTTTAAACATGCTTAAAAGTTCTATTATTTTTCTTGAAAAGTTTAAACGTGCTAATTTGTGCATTTATCACTTACGTGTATTTATGCTATAGAGCTATAGGGTTTTCTTTCACATTTTTATGTCAATATTCTATTATTAAGGTCGTTTCGATTAGGAAAACCAGAGTGTAAATTGCTAACTTTCCTGTACATGTAAAGAAGCAAGTTTATAGTGAAAATGTTATGTATATTTAACTCAAAAATGCATATAATTGTTACCATTTTACATACTGTTTGAGATAGTGATTACGGAAAGAGTTTCTAAAAAAGCTTTCAAGCTTACTACTCAATCCGTACTATTTATTATTTGTCAATTATCATGTAAATGTAATACTTATAAATAAAATATTGTTTAAACTAACTAAGTTGTTGATATACAGTAAATTAGTCCACCAGGTATCCTTACATTAGTCTACATCAACCCCATTTTGTGGCCAGCCTGGTCCATTGCCCCAGTATTTAAATGTTGGAACGTATGGCATTAGAAGCAACATATACGGTGGTGTCAATCTTAAAGAAAATAGAACATATACTGTTAAAAACTGAATTACAATGTAGAAGATACAAAACTAAAACATAATATGATAAAAACATTCAAAAATTCCATCTGCATGATCAATGAAATAGAATTTTAAATGCAATAAACCTCAAATGACATTAAGTCATAGGAGAATTTTTCTTATAGATTCTACCATAAAAGCTTCTAAATAAAATTATAACTGTTTAAAGAAATAAATAAAACTAATAATTTTTAATATGAGTACGTTCAATGAGTCAGAATATTATAGTGTGTTAGATTGGCTAAAATGTGATCATTGTGAAGGCTACTGTTTTTATTTGGTCCCTTATTGCCTAGCAACTTGGGTTATATAGGCCAACAATCGTTTATATAAGGCCATATATCATTCCAAACTTGTCACAATAATCTTTATAAATTAGTTATAAAGATTTTTAACAGCAGCCTTATATATTATAAGTTATAAAGATGTTGACAGGTTATTTTGCCCCTTTAGAAACGTTTTGTTGAGCCGCTAGGCGAGGGTAATATTGCAACCAACTGTTTATATACGGTCATATAACCTGTCGGGAATATTTTAAAAAAGGGCTGCATTTTAACTGATATTATGAATGGTTTGTTGCATATGTAAAGGTAGAGAAAATAAAAATCCCTAAAGAGAACCCAAAACGGCAAAATTCAAAATTGTGCAGGCTTTTTGAGCCTGTTCATTGAGCAAACTACCATCCACGTCCCCTATTACCGGCTTAAGTGGAATTCAACATTTAAACATGGAATTGTAAAATTTTGAATTTAGAAACATCAGCAGATGTGTTTATACGGCGGTTATCATGGAACCTTCAATGTGACACGTTTGCCATTCCATGAAAAGCGGCGTATGGTCCCCAAGTAATAGAAAGCGCGTGCTCTAAACAAGAACACAATGGGTGGAACTAAAAACATGGAATTTTAAAAGGAAATCAGAGGTTATGAAGCCTGCATACCACAGATAAGACGTCAAAAGACAATGTTAAACATGGAATTGTAAAATTTTGAATTTAGAAACATCCGCAGATGTTTTACACGGCGGTTATCATGGAACCAAAAGACAAAGTTAAAAATTAGGCAGCATATCCTAATGGTGATTCTACGTTATTCAAGTAGGAATATTGGAACCACTCAACTAGATAATGCCAAAAAGTGAAAATTAAAAATACCACAAACGAAACACTGTAAACGGACCTGCTAGGCGAGGTTATATTGCAAACAACCGTTTTCAAAACGCCAAATAACCTGTCATGAATCTTTATAACGAATTTGTTATGCAGCAGACTTTTATTAGAGAATAGATGATATATCTTTAGAAATTGACAGCAACCGTATATACATGTATCGTTAATTATAAAAAAATTTCGACAGGTTATATAGCCCTATATAAACGGTTGTATGTATATATAACCCAAGCCGCTAGGTGAGGAATATATCATGTCAGGAATATTGATTACAAATTTGAAATTACACAAACTTTCTTATTTACAGAAAAAAGTGAGATTTCTTCATAAATTGTCAGCAGTCGTGTATATTATTAGTTATAAAAATTGTGGACAGGTAAAATGGCCCTATATAAACGGCTATTTGTAAATATAACCCCAGCCGCTAAGCGAGGGTTATATTGCAAACTGCCGATTTTATACGGCCATATAACCTGCCAACAAACTTTATAACGAATTTATAACACAGCAAGCATCATTTTTAAGAGAAATAAATAGATTTCTTCATGAATCGACCGCAGCCATGTATATAAAACTATATTAAACGTCACGATTATTCAATGAAAAGCGACGTAACAAACGTGCAGTATTATAAAAATCTTTATGATACTGCACGTTTGTAACGTCACTTTTCATTTGATAATCGTGACGTTTATATAGAGGATATTTGTTTGTTTGTGTGTAAGATGAAATTTTATTTCATCGAGTGGGCTTTAAAAACAGTATTCTCACGAGTGGCGTAGCCACGAGTGAGAATACTGTTTTTAAAGTTCACGAGATGAAATAAAATTACATCTTACACAACAAACAGACAAATTTTCTTTTTATTTTATGCTTAAAAACAAGTTAAAACGAAATTTCCATAATTTTAACGTTAATATTAAAATCTGTTTCCCCCATTGAGAGCCCCATTTAGACGGAATTTCTCATTTAAAACAAGAAGTCTTGAGCTGAAAAATAAGTTCGTAAAAACGAAACAAAAAAAATTTAGAGACAAAATTTGGTGATTGGAATTTGAAGGAATAGAAGTAAGTTTTCTCTCTGTGTTACTTTTGACATTTAAGTTATTTATCTATTTCAGCTTTGCTATTTCTTTTAACAGCCTGACATTGTCAGAATTGTCAGTAAAAATAAAATTGAGGTACCACATGGGGAAAATCTTAAAAAAGTAGTTTCGTCATTGAAAAAAGTGAAATTATATTTTGATAATTTTCACTGTGAAATTATCAAATATAATTTTCACGGATAAATCAGTAATCCACTGAAAAGCATAAAATAAATAGTTTTATATACACGACTGCTGTCAATTTATAAATTAATCTCACTTTTATTTCTAAAAAAAATAGTTTGCAGTATTATAAATATTATAAATGACAGGTTATATGACCGTATATAAACGGTTGTTTGCAATATAACCCTCGCCTAACGGCTCGAGTTTTTTTTAATGCGTTTATTTAAGGTCGCAACCGGAAAGCCCATATGGGCGACCGTACACTCAAGTCGGGCCATCCTAGAGCGTCCCGCCGAGATTTTTTCGTCGATTTTTTCCAGCTTTAATTGGTGGAGGAAGACCCCAGGTGCCCCTCCGGGCATTATTTCAGGCACGAGCGGGCACCTGGGTAGAACCACAGACCTTCCGTAAGCCAGCTGGATGGCTTCCTCACATGAAAGATTTCGACCAGAGTGAGGATCGAACCTACAGCGGTGAGGGACCTGTGATCTCAAGTCAGCGACCTTACCCACTCGGCCACGGAGGCCCCGCTCGAGTTATATTTACAAATAGCCGTTTATATAGGGCCATGTAACCTGTCAACGATCTTTATAACTATTAATATAAACGTCACGATTATCCAATAAAAAACGACGTTACAACCGTGCAGTATTATAAATACATTATATATTCATGACGATTATCCATTGAAAAGCGACGTGACAAAACGTGCACTATTTTATTTTAAACGGTGTTCAAGTAGATGATTTGTTGTAGACAATTATTATCAACATAGTTTTTTCAGTTTCCTTATCTTATCTTTGTGTTTTACTCTTATAGGGGTAAAGGGTTTTACCTGAGAACGAAGAACGTGTCCACAGAAACGGTTGCATTAGAAATGGCCTGGAATGTGAATCTCTTAATTATTTCGGGGTAGAATGTGGCAGCATTGTTTGAAATTGGTATATCAGAGATATTACTATTTATTCAAATGAACCGTGTCTATAATGCAACTAAATAATTAAGCTTCAATTTTCAAACCTTTCAATATTTTACCATTATATGTGCTGAATTTGTTTAATTTTGTATTTTATAAGATTGAACCATTTTTTGATAGGTTAAAGGCTGCAAAATTGTCTGAATGGGTCAACCCTAATGGACATTACGAGTGATCAAGAGTTTCCAGTTTGGGCATATTAGGTCTTGCCGCTTCAAAAGCCCGTTGAAATAAAGTCAAATAATATATATATATATAATACATATAAAATCTTGTAAAACATCATCTTTTCTGTAATTGTTTTCATTTTAACATATCATTCCATATAACAAAATGTATGCGCTGTCAACACAAAAAATCCTTTGCTGGGATTCATTCGAATATTTTAAACAACAGACCTTTTGAAGTATTTACAATATAATATTTCCATATAAACGGAAGTGTTATTTCGCGCATGCGTGTTCTGCGAAAGAATACATTTTATCAGTATTCAACAACTTCATAAACAATTTATGTAATCAAAATTATCAACCATTAGTTTAGAATAGTTTATTTTGATATAATAACCGATTTAATGGTAAATTTGAGTAATTAACTTGGTCATTATATCATTTACTCATTAATTCATGGTCTTTCAAATCAAATGACACAAAACGTACCAGTTAAAGTAAATCCAAAGGCATACGTATGTCCTAACATGACCCACGTCATGCTCAGAAACCGTATACCATTTATGCTTGTCAATGTACCAGATGGTTGGTCCGTGCTAAATATCTTCGGCGCATTTGAGTACACAGAGAATGATAATAGCAGGTTGCCCATTTTTCCTGTAAATAAAGCAATCAAGATAGGTTTTAATTAGTGAATATTTCTTAAAAAAAAGGAGGTTGGGGAGTAGTATGTAGCTCAACTTGAATATGCCTTCAAATTGTTTTCAGAGCTACTATATCGGTACAATGCACAGGTTCTTGCCATCACACTTGATCTGTTTAGTCACTTTAGTTTCAAACGACTGAAAACGTGTTCCTGTTGTTTTAAATTTGATATAGATTAACATTTCTGGAATGTCAGTTTAATTGTAAGAGTGAAGTTTATGGTAGGATAAAGATGTTGTTCGAACTCTTCAGAGACTTGTCAGCATATAATGTCTCACGTCTTAATACGTACGCCTTGTGAATAGGAACGTCAGGGGAAGTAACTAGAGTTAAATTTGTTTTAAATAACAGAAACAGTATTGTCGCCATTTACCTAAAATTTCCAAAAAGTTAAGATCTAGAATGATTGATTAATTTCCTAAATTCTATTTGTATTATTTTTTTTCATTTATTTATCACTTTTCCTTACCTGTTTGATTATTATTCACTGCCTTTGATCCGGCTTTCAATAACGTGTTTTGCCCGGCATAGGATATTTCATAGTTTCTGGAATCTTGGTTACCTTTGTCAGCGTATAGCGGTGTTGATTCAGACGTATCTATGACGTATCTGTTTCCATCGTGTTCATTTGTGACGTCATTAAAGGCACCGTAGTCGGTCCCATTATTCTACAATATATGATTTCCTTGGTCAGTACATGAATATTAAATATGTTACAAGCTTACAGATATATATATGTACCTTAATAATATGCGATCACCTGAGTTTATTCATCGACATTAGCTGGGCAGTCTACTGACAAAGTCAATATCAGCACGCAAACATTCACTATTGGTAATAATTGAGCCGTGTCATGACAAAACCAACATAATGGGTTTGCTACCAGCATGGATCCAGACCAGCCTGCGCATCCGCGCAGTCTGATCAGGATCCATGATGTTCGCTTACAAACCCTATAACAAGTAGAGAAACCGATAGCGAACAGCATGGATCCTGATCAGACTGCGCGGAGGCGCCGGCTGGTCTGGATCCATGCTGGTCGCAAACCCACTATGTTGGTTTTGTCGTGACGCGGCTCAATTATAGTATAAGAATAAGCAATTTCTTTGTTATTTACGTGACATTGAACATCGTCAGAATTTACGTCATATTTTCTACGTATATTAGTAAAACCAGACTAAATATACTAGATCCATAGATTACTAGAATAAACGGCTTGACATTTTATCCCAAGGTTATAGCGGAAAATAAAATCTTTTCCGTCTTTTGTATTGGTTTATTGGTTATTTTCCCCATTCAAATCACGAAAAGTCGCGTGGTATAGGCACCGTGTCTCTTTCGAAAATCTGAGGGTCATTAAAGCAAAGAAGTTGACTCAAATTTTATACAGCAAACTTTGTACATGTATATTACAACTGACTTACAATAAAGAGTAAGATGTTCATAATAAATTAATGCAATAGATAAATGTTATACTATTAGTTTTTATTATATACTTCTAAATGAAATATTGAGAAATATTGATGAAATAAAATGCCTATTTTCATTTTCCGTACTTTCACTGTAAAAATTTATTTTTCACTGCAGTGAAACATATTTTCCGTATTTTCACTGGTGTCTTGCCGGACTACTTTCTTTTAAATTCTGCCAGTACACAAAATTTAAGGGAAAGTCTTTTAAATGTTATCGCAAAAAAGAGAAAAATGTATATAATAAACAGAAAATTCAAGTTTTTTCTATAAATACATGATTTATTTTCATCTTGTGGCATGAAAATTACCATATTTCACTCGTGGCTACCGCCACTCATGAAATATTTATTTTCATACCACTCGATGAAAATAAATCATGTATTTATAGAAAAAACTTGAATATCCTCTATGTATTCGGAATCTCTGCTCGCCATATAATGATTAAGGAAGATGTCGTAGGCTGTTGCAAGAACGATAACTGCCGCGAATAGTGAACATATAACGCTGAAGAAAAAAATATATAACAATATCACATTTATATACGTTAATGCTAATAGTATATTTAACAAAATCTCCGAAAGGCAAACAACACATTTTATTACAATGACATGACTTTGCTTGTTGTGCAATTTTCTTTTAGTTTTAGAATTATGTAAAATATTACTTAAAATATAAAACGACTAAGCAAAAATGGCGATTTTCTGCACGTCTGACATGTTTTGGAAATCATTTATAATAAGCCATTGTTTTCGAATGGCAGTTGATGTACAAAGTTAATTACTGGGAAATGGTCTTTTCTCTCGAAAAAGAATAAATATTTCGGCTAGCTATAGATGTGTGATTTCAACATTTTAAAATTAATAAATAAAAATGTGAAAAAATCACAGTAAATGCTAGAACGTGTCTTTATTTATTATTTATTCACAACAGTAGTTTTCAAAATACTTATATACTTATCATAGAAACTACGACAAGCAAATTTATACAAGGAAGAGTCAGCACAACGTCAAAATAGTCTGACGTCATTTATACATTAAAAACATAGTTTTACATTTCGTCAATTTTTTCACACCAAAATTTAAATGATATTAAGATTCACTTCTTACATGACTGCAATAGCTTTTCCAGTATACCCCTGCAGGGGTGCGTTTCATAAAGAATCTTAGGACCGATTTTAGTCGTAAGTGCAAAACTGTGATAAAACTGCGTTTCAAGAAAAGTCCTAAGTACAATCTTAGGACTAAACTTAGGACTATTCCTATAGGTGCCTCAGGGCACTCCTAACTTTTATCTTAAGTCATAAAAACAAAAACAAGTGCTGAAAAAAACATTGCAGCTCCTGTTTTATTCTCAATATGTTAAAATAAGGGCATTTATAAGTGAAGAAAAGGATTTTAATACCTGTAATATTAAAAAAATTTTTTGTTATAAAAATTTTACACTGATTCAATATGAATTATAATAAGTATTGGTTACGTGTATATGACTTAATTAAATATTTTTAAGGTAAATAAAACTTTTGTTAAAATAAACATGTTCATTTTTGCTAACCAGTGTGTTGATATGTTTTATTAATTAGTAAATCTATACTACTCATAGTATATAGGCCTATGACTGACATTGTGACTGATATGGCTTTGCCGGACTTAGTTTGGCGTATGTTTTATTTTCAAGATTCAGTAATTTTTAATACTTACATATTATATATAAAATTCAAACACGCTTCACATTATTCCCCTATATAAACAGATAAAGCAGTCAAGTGCATTAGTCATAAATAATTATGCATGGCATGGAAAAGGAAAGATAACACATAATATAAAGTCAGAAATGACGTCATATAAACCAAATGACGTAAGATAAATTACTTCAATGCATAATAATGTTCAACATGTTTTTATTGATTATCTTTTTTATTACCATGTTAGAATGGAAATAGATATTATCTTTTCTTACGTTACAGTAAAATAATATACGGTTAATCGTTCAAATGCTTTGTAATAAATAACTCCGTTATCGGCGTTTGTTAGTACATTTATACTAGAAGCATTATTCTACAATACTTCACTCAAATGTCTCATAAATATTAAGAGGATATTTTACATTTGAGTAAAATATGGAATATTTTTTCAAGAAAGTATGCAATTTAAGAATGATTTTAAAGGAAAGTAAAAAATTGTTCGTGCTCAAGGTTACAATTATAACATTAATGATATGAAGGAGATTAGAAGTAAGTTAATACATAAGAAATATTAATGTATATTTTTACACAATGTCAATTTTACAGCATTTTTATATTTAATCATCCGCCATTCTACACTTTTTCACATGACAATGACATATTACAGGATATGGAACAAGTGAATATTTTTATCTCCATTAGGAAGATTTTGTCTTAAGTAAAAACTTAGGACTATTCCTAAGTACAAGAGTTAAGACAGTTTCTTGAAACGCTCCTAAGTGCAATCTTATTCCAGTCCTAACTTTAGTCTTATGTTTTAGACTTACGATTCTTTATGAAACGCACCCCTGAGACTTTTCTTGACACGTGACCTGTACACGTGACGTTGCATTCACATCTATCAAGGTCACCACTGAAAATCGATAAGAATAGCTAGTGTCAACAAATATCTAAAATGCGATGTAAAAAAAAAAGATTAATCGAATTTTATGAATGAGTAAATCAAGGTTGAATGCATATGGTATCTTTTGGGATTATTGGCTTTACGTCATATCGACGTTGTTATGGCATAAGAAACTGACCTCGAAAGAAATCGTTTAAGTGATTCTTTATACAATATGTCAATCGATTCATGCTTTATACAAAACAATTAAACGTGCATACGTGTTTTTGCCAAAGCCGTTGCATCAGAAGAATTACACGTGTCCGGGAAACACATCCCAATGGCTAAAGCTGCGGCCTGTCCAAATGCTCCCTAAACAAATATAAAGCAATTAGTTTTCTGTGATATAAGTATTGCAAGAAGAGGCGTTTGTTTGAAGAAAATGTCAATAAAAGCTAAACTATATCCTAGAATTATTAATATGAATAAGCAAAGCCTCAAAGTGAGTTATTTGAAAGAAATTAAATTTATTCCACCCGTAAGATAACATTAACTCACTTAAAATTGAATTTCGGAATTAATAATTCCATTTCGAGAAAGCATTACGCCAGTAAACAAGAATACGGGATAGACTTGATATAACTGTTTATTAACACGAGCACAAAATGTCTTTCTTATGAAATACAAATGGAGAGCTAAAAACAAGGGAGACGACTCCCTTACATATTATGTGTAGTACAACTAAATGTTCATAGGTCATTGACCACTATAAATATAGTGGCGTGACTTCTTTTTCCTTTCCCTAGGAAGTACGGATACAATTATGCAGCATGTTTGACTAATGGTTAATTTAAGCAACATACAGCATCTTAGTATTAAGCAAATTTATCATTTAAAACATTTAAAAATAATGTTGAATAAAACGAACTAGAATAACATTGACTTAAGAAAACTGTTCTGGTGTTATAATGTGAAATCAAGTATTAAGACAAATCATAGTCATTGAGGTAAGTTGGAGGCTTTCGAACCCTTTGTGGTCGCTCACTTGTATTAATGGTGTGGGGTTCAACATTAGAATGACTAGAGTTTATATCATGCTCATCAACTACTTCTGGAGAAAGGTCCAAAGATAAGTTATTTTCAATTGGTTGATTTGGCAGTTCATATGCTGGACGAGACAAAGTGTCCGGAATGTTAATAACTTCTGGTATCGCGTCTTCGTCCTCACTAACATGATCATTATCACTATAATATTTCACTTGATTTGGCAAACACTCAGTAAATTGACTTGGAACTCTGTAGCACTCACTAAGTTTTATTTTGTATGATGTAGCTCTTAACTGTGAACCAGAAAATTTCTTAATGTAACACCATGGACTTTCAATAGATATAATTAGATATCTGTCACGAGCCTTGAGCTTACTTTTCTCATTAACAAGATAAACAATATCGCCAACTGATAACTTGACACGACAAGGGCTTATGTCCCTTGATTTTAGATTTTTCACTGTATGGGTGATTACGTAGGCGGTTTTCATGCTGACTTAAAATGAGAGCTCTATCCGATAAAGGTAACTGTTCATTTTGTAAACTGGTTTCGTTGGGTCCAAAGTTCTCGTGATGATAAGCCACAATTACGAATACGTGAATTCAGTCTTGCAATAACAACTGACAGTCCTAATTCTGAAACTGGACCGCCAGAGGGATCATGGCGAAGTAGTTCGTTTTCAAAACTCAAGAATTGCTTTTTCTGCAACAGGGTTCTT